AACAGTGAATCACAGGTGGACCACGAGTACATCATGTACAGGTGACCATAGATGAAAAGAGCATGTGCAAGACCCATAAATGTCATCGAATACATAAATGAACGAAGCCGGAGAGAGAGGGATGGAAGCAGATCTGTCGTGGGCACTGCTCACTCACACAGAATACCTCTGCCTGGTGATTGTGCCGATCCTTTTTTGGTGTACGTTGCAACCAGACTCACTGCCTCAGAATTTACCTTACGTGCAACGGCCTTGGTTAAATAGAACATCGTCGCGGCATCCCCAATGCACGCTCCCATCTGAACCCTTGTACTAATCAGACATTTTCACGCAGCCATTTGAATGAGTTCTGTGTTAAAAAGAAGATAGCCGGACACGTTGAACGTGAAAGGTTACGGGGTGGTGTTGAGGTCAGAATGAATCTGCAAATAATTCCTTATTGGGTGGAGGGAGTTTGTCACTCTGTCATTCTATTCTCACGAATAGCATGCCATCAGAACAACAAGAAAATAAAAGCTTTTAGGACATAGTCAGCAATAGAGAGAACAAAAATGGGAAACGACAAATTGTTCATTCGATGGACTCCGGAGAATTCTGAAGAAAATCTGTTGCTACCTGTTGCCTGTCATATACCCCGGTAATTTGGATGGTGACTGGAATGTGAAAAGATCGGTGCTATTGGTTCGACCTGGTAGCTGTGCGCTGTACAAAAACAGCGCCCATACTTGGGTTCGAATCCCACCGAGGCTACTGAAATTTTCAGAATTTCAACATAAGCATTCAATCTGCCAAACGACCATTTGAAAAGGTGTGAGATATTCAGTATGTGGACTTTATCTACAATCCACTGCGTTTTCAAACAAAATAGACGTTTACTAGTCGGCGGTTTCGGTTACAGCAAAGGTATCCAAGGGGATCTCATTCCCACTTAAACTCCTCGTAGACCACAAGAACGCATTTGGTGATCTGAATTGATCGGTACTACTCAACCGGCTCGCCGAGGATGGTGTTCACACGAATGTTTGCAGAGTGATCCGCAATCATTTCACAGATCAAAGAAATCAGCTAGAAATTTTCTACTTGACCTGATGGTTATGGTGTTTTGCAAGTTTTATTATTCACGGACATTTGAGCAAGTTTCCGTTCCGAGAACAATATTGTTTAAATATGTGAAGCACCCACTTCTGAAAGGAAGCTGTAGACGGTTAAAACAGGTTGAATACTGTTGTGAACTGATGCCTGTCTCGTTCAAGTTCAATAGATGCCTAAAGTGTCTGGACGTTGTGTCGTCCCTGTTGGTCAATAAACCATACGAAGGCCAGTTGTTGTGAAAAGATTCTGACTTGCTGGAAAGAACCTAAAAAGATGTCTCTTCATATAGTGGCCACATTGGAGACACAGTGACACAATATCTCATGGAAAATACCTTTATGCATGTGAAAAGTTTATTTCAGAAACCTGGTCTGGTACTGATCTTCCATTAAATAAGGAACTACCAAAAGTTGTAACCCACATCATCCATACACACACACACTCGGTGTTCAAATGTTCTATTTGTTTCGCTGAAAAAGCCTATAGTTATTTGATCCATTTAGCGTAGTTATGTTGTTACCCAAATTGACACAGCTTATATTTAAAATTCTGAAAATTCGCCAAATCGGGTGTGAATAAAAAGGTTCCTAGTGACTTAATAAAAAACAGAATTAAAAACAAATATTTATGCATGCCAACTATAAACCATGGTAATCAATTTAACTAGAAGGTTTCAATGATTCCCAGTCGAGTGTTTTACAAAGCTCTTTCATCACATACCCCCTTACGCAATGCACACAACTGGGACTGAACTGGGATCTAATGCTCCAACGTCACAAATACGGCCAAACCAAAGAGAGACTGCGGATGAGGCGCGAAGTTGAAGTTCGAAGGATATTCAGCTTAGATCAATCAATATTTACTATCAGTTCGGGGTAGGGAAAATCGTGAATTGTAGATCAGTACATCGGGTTCTGCATTCCCCCAGTT